CCCCAAAACCCCAAAACCCCAAAACCCCAAAACCCCAAAACCCCTTTAACAGCTGTCAAAATTGAATTAAAACTTCATGACCTTATTCCTTCCCTTCATCTGTTTCTTACGTTCTTGCTTTTGGATCTTTTCTTTATACTTCTGTTTCTCTGCTGGTGTCATTTGTTTGAGTTTTTCTCTCTCTTCTCTTTCTCTTTGCTCTCTCTTTTCTTCAATCTCTTGTTGTCTCTTGTCTCTTTGAGCCTATATATTGATAAAGAAAAACATACCTTTTCTCTCTTTTTCTCTTCAACCTCTCTAAGCTTCTTTGATTTCTCAAGTACTTTTGAAGGAAGCTTAATGGGCTTAGCAATGTGGTCTACAAGATCGATTATCACTTCTAGTAGCTTTACAGAGTCTGCAAATTCTGATGGGTGCTCGCCCATCAAAATTTCACATTTCAGCACTAATGGGTAGTTTGTGTACACTCTTTGATCAGTCACATGAAGGAACTCCAGATGTTTCTCGTACTTTTCAAATGCTGAAGCGAATCTCTTTGGGAAAACAATTTCGATTGATTCTGGAGAGTCTGCGAGCACTGTCAATTGAGTATTACTAAAGGATTTTGTTGGGATTGGTCCAATAAGCTTGTTAATATTTGGCATTTCTTCTTGAGTTTTCTTTACATCCTTCTTTCTACAAATCATGATTTCAAGAGGAATGTCAACATCAATAGGAATATCAAAGATTACTCTATCTCTATCTGGCCAAATTAATCCTGCAATTGAACCTCCAATAATGTCTTGTCTTTTCTTAGTGATCATATGAATAAAAATATAATGTCAATAGTCTCTTCCAGAAGCAAAGAATTCAAACTCATGGTATTTCAATTGGGAAATTGAGAAGTTAGGTTCGTCTCCAAATCCAGTATGGTGGAAATTTTTCTGAATTACAGGAAGAGCTTCAGCAGTCCACATAGCCACGACCTTAGAGTTGACTTTCTGGCCAACATAAATATTGAGAATATACACGAAGAACAGAGATCCCAGGCAGAGTTCAACCATATACTTTCTAGCATAGTAAATATATTTTTCTGTAGCAGTCTCGAAATCAGGAACTGGATCTGTTTCAACAATTATCTCCGGTGCAGGCATTTCTTCAACTTCATTATCCGTAATGATTTCTGGTTGCTCAAATTCTATTTGAGGCTCCTCATCTGGGGTCTCGTCGAAGATTTCAGGGGCATCTTCAGGAGCTTCTTCAAAGAGATCTTCAAAGTCTTCATCCTCTGCTTGTGCATATGCTTTACTGGTAATCAAGCATAGAGCAAGAAGGAGAGCTCAGAGATATACAAATCTTTTTGCCATTTTTAATAAAACTAATAAGTTTTACCTATATTAAATTGTCGGGGTTTTGGGGTTTTGGGGTTTTGGGGTTTTGGGGTTTTGGGGTTTTGGGG